TCTGAAGGGTGGCTGCCTGAACTAGTATGTTCTGCAGCCTCAGTTTAGTTCAAGTGGCAATGGGTCAGAAGTCATCAGTACCAGGACGAATTCCGGCATAGGACTAGTTTATGCTGAAAATAAACCCATCTCACTCCCGACCACCTTGCTTCAGCAATGGCTGGTAAGTTCTACAGGGAATGGATCCCAGATCTAACCTGGGTGACCTTCTGTAGGCGCCTCTGTCTGTTCCTTGGATTCCTGACTATAAAATGGGTCTGTCAGCCTCCACAGCGCGTGCCCTTATCCACGATGACTACCTGACTTCCCCAGAGTTAGAAAACTCCCAATCAATCAATCATTGCCCACACCTAGAGCACCCCGTGAACGTCAGCCCATTCTAGGAACTGTCCTGCAGCCTGGAATCACGGAGTCGACAACCCAGGGCGCTTGGGTACAAGTCTGCGCCCCTCCGCGCCACTGTGTCCTCAGCTCGAGCAACGAGCCTGCAGGGGACCCGGCGCGCAACACGGCCCCGCTCCCTACACTGTCCAGCCTCCCGGGCTGCCCGGCCCCACCTGGGCCCGGTATTCAAGGTCCCTGTGGGCAAGGAGCCCCCAGTGCACAGGATTCTGTGAAAAGAGGCAGGACACGCCCCGTGGGAGGCCCCCCGGGTGGGGAAGAGCCCCTCAGGCCCCTCTCGGCCTCCGTACCTGACCGGAGCTGCCTCCCCCGGCCGCCACTACGGCGCTGCCGGCCCCGTCCGCCTCCTGCGCGGCCGCCATCTTCCCGCTCCGGGTCCCCGCCCCCGCCGCCAGCCCCGCCCCGTCCCCGACGGCTCCAGCGCGATCGCGCGAGATTTCACGCTTTCCCCGACCTGCCGGCCACCGTAACCCGCAAGAGCGCCTCAGCCACGCCTCTCAGGAGCCGCTAAAGTCTATGAAAAGACCAAGCAGGCCACCGTACTCTCCGTCGCGTCGCAGCTCGTTTGTTTTCGCGTAGTAGACACACTGCATGCCCCGAACTCCCAGGGCTTTCTTGGCCAACATGTACGCTTCCCACAGCCTACGTTCTTTCTGCCCCCACGAATAACCCGCTTCTTCCAGTTATACGAGCCTCCTGGGTCATCCTGTCCACTTTGCCCCGCCTATTCTTTAAGTTCAAGGTTCTTGAGCTTTCCCGGCCACCGTAACTCTTAGAGATGCTCCACTTGAACCACGCCCTCCTGCGTTAAAGGAACCTTCCTGGCCTCCGCACCCAAGACTCGGAGGGCAGGATCTTTGGTCGGTGGCTTCGCTTTCAGACCCCTCTTCGTAACACAGCCCTTTCCTCCGACAAGTCTCCCTAGGTTATAGTTCTGTGCATTTAGTTACTACTTCAGTGTTCTCACGCCACCACACTTCCAAATCGGACCTTGGCAGCCCCTCCCTAAGCTTTCGGGCCGCCTAGTTTAATGCGCATGCGCGTTCCCTTAGCGGTCCGCTTTCTAGTAAACCTTGCGGCTATGGCCTCGGCTTCAAGGGTTCAAAGAACTCCGTACTTTTTCATTAGCTATCTTCCTACAGCTCCGGGTTTGGACACGTGTTGAAAGACCCTTGGCCCGGAGAAGGAATTATGGAGGCCCAGAGAGGACAGAAGACTCAGCGGCTTTTAAACCTTCACCAATGAATTGGGTGGAAGTCTGACCTGGGCTCAGACCCTGGTTGTGCTACTGACCGACTAGATGATCCCGGACAAGTGACCTATCTCTCTGGGCTTCATTTTCTTCCTTTTTTATAAGCTAGGCATTATAATGGTACCCGCTATTCCTCTCCACCTTTGCCCCGCCGGGTTATTGGGAAGACCCAGTGAAATCAAGAATATAAAACACCTGGCCCGGGTTCTCCGTTTGGGGCTAAGTGATCAGTATCACGCACTGTTATTATGAACTTTACATATTATCTGAAAAGGAGAGTAGGCTTTGCATAGAGATATTTTAATTATTTATTTATCATTTTACTGCCTATTGATAATCCTCCACTTTCCTCGCGGTCTCAGCTCAATAGTATTATCCCTCCTCCCTGGTCCCCAGACTGGGCGGGGCACCGCCTCCCAGTCCTCCTAGATCTCTGGACTCCCCACCCCCTCCCTGCCCACTTTGTGTCATCACTGACAGAGATGGGTGTGTCTCCAGCACTGTCCCAGGGCATGATTGCCGAGTGAAAGGATGAAACTTTGAGTGGGGAAGATGAATGAATTACCTCTGTGAACCAACACAAGGACAAGAAGAAACCTTGGAGAACTTCTTGGGACTACCCTGGTGGCGCAGTGGTTAAGAATCTGCCTACCAATGCAGGGGACACAGGTTCTAAGCCCTGGTCCAGGAAGATCCCAAGTGCTGCGGAGCAACTAAGCCCGCGTGCCGCAACTACTGAGCCTGTGCTCTAGAACCCGCGAACTCCAACTCCTGAAGCCCACGCACCTAGAGCTGGTGCTCTGCAGCAAGAGAAGCCACCGCAGTGAGAAGCCCACGCACCCCAACGAAGAAAGCCCTCGCACAGCAACAAAGACCCAAGGCAGCCAAATTAATTAATTAGTTAATTAATTTTTTTAAAAAAAGAAAACTTGCCTGGTCCCCTTCTCTTACAGACAACAATGATAGTAATAACGATTCTGTGAAATTGTAGACCCAGTCTTCAAGTCTAGGGATGAAATGAACATACTGATGAAGTCCCCCAGAAGATGGGCAGATTGAGATTTTTGTGGGCTTCTTTTTTAAAAGTACAAAATTACACGTACACATATAAATAGAGAACCACAGAAAGCCCAGGCAGGTGAGGGGCTTTGAAGCTCATCTTCTCCGGTTTCATTGTTACCCCATCTCTGCTCTCAGCTCTAGGTCCCCTAACGTCCTCTCTCATATACCGCAGAGTTCTGATTTGTTGGAACACTAGAGGCTCTTAGCTAGACTGTGACCTCAGATGGGGCCCTTGTAAAGCCCTCCCCCATGTCTGCTGAGTGACCAAGTAAATTCTTCCATTCCTACTAACTGTTAAGTGAATCACAGGCCAGACCCACACTGCGCTCCACTAGGGGACGCCCAACACCAACCAGAGGCTGGGATTTCAGGTTCTAAGGGGGCTGGGGACCTGAACTTCTGGGTCCTGAGGAGAATGGATTGGAGGTCCTGAGTTCTGGGGGAGGAGGAGTCTTGGGGCCTGGACTCCTGGGGTCCTGAAGGGAGTGGGACTGGGGTTGGGAGCCTGAGAAAGGAAGGCGGAGTCTGGGAGGTACACCAGGATTGGTTGGAAGCAGAACTGGCCTGGGCAGTGGTTTGGTTTGGCTTGAGTCTGTGGGAAACAAGTGGACAGAGCAGGGATTGTTCCTCCTGGGTTCCCCCCTCCCCATCACCCATTGGGCTTGGCAGCCTCAGCTCTTCCCAGGCCCTGGGGACTTGGGGGCATTTCTCACAACCCTTCCCCAAGGCCCCTGTTTTCTGCTAGATTCACAGCTGCCCAGCCCCAGAACCTGGGAAAACTGCCCCAAGAGTACTGAAAAGGCTGGCTGGAAGTTAATGCCAAGTCTGTTAGGAGAATAGAGGCCCCGCATCCTCAGAGGCCAATAGCCCCGCCCATAGGACTTGGTGGCCCAGGACCACTCTCTACTCCCTCCAGATGCAGGAGTCCAGGCTCTTAGCCCATCTAACCATGTGCCCCAGCACTGTCCTCTCTCAGACTGCAGGGCCTCTGCTCTTATTTGCACCCTGTGCTTTTGGCCTGTAATCCCCCACTGCCCAGATACCCTCTTCCATCTGCTCAGACCTGGGCGCCAAGTGAGTACTCCCCTCCCCCTCCTTGCCATCAACAGTAGTCCTTACCACACTGCATTGTGACGCATGCCCTGTGACCAGCCCAGCTGGGTCCTCTAGAGGGCTCTCCCCGTGCCCCAACCCAAGGTGGCCGCCCCCAGACCTTGAACTCCTCACTTCCTCTCCTTTTCTTCATGGCCCGCGTTGCTGTCTCAAGTTATCTTATCCATGGGTCCTCTTGTTCATCCTCTGCCTTCCACCCGCTCAGCCTCTCTATGTGTGGCTCAGGATGGATCAGAGCTCCTGGCCCTGAGTAGGAGCTCAGGAAGTGTTATTACTATTGCTAATAAGAAGAGAACAGCTAAAAAGCATACCACAAAACGGTAATCAATAAAACCATGTGACGGACTTCCCTGGTGACGCAGTGGTTGGGAATCCGCCCGCCAATGCAGGGGACACGGGTTCAAGCCCTGGTCCAGGAAGATCCCACATGCTGCTGAGCAGCTAAGCCCGTCTGCCACACCTGCTGAGCCTGCGCTCTAGAGCCCACGAGCCACAACTACTGAAGCCCGCACACCTAGAGCCTGTGCTCCGCAGTGAAGAGTAGCCCCTGCTCACCACAACTAGAGAAAGCCCACGCAAAACGAAGACCTAACGCAGGCAAAAATAAATTAAAACAAACAAAAAACGTGTGAAACTGCGTCAGGACCCAATCAGTACGTTTTTGCGGGGGCCACGTGAGGGCAGGTCTTTTCCCTGCTGTGTCTCCAGCACCTGGTTGTGTCTCAATAAATACATGTGGGACAAATGTATAGGAACTGGCACAGAGCACAGCGTTTACAGTTCTGTCCTCTCGGGTCTCAGCCAACCTGGGCGCTGCCTTGCCACGCTCAGCAATGACTCATGGGCACCGCTCTCCCCTCTGCCACAGGGCCACTGGACACCTCACTGCGATGGCACATTCAAAGTGTCAGCCCAGGACCCGGACATGGCCAGAGTCCACTGCAGATTAGCTATATCCATTTATCATTTTACAAATGAGAAAGCCGGGAGTTCCCTGGTGGTCCAGTGGTTAAGACTCTGTGCTTCCACTTCAGGGGGCAGGGGTTCGATCCCTGGTCAGGGAACTAAGATCCTGCACGCATGCCACATAGCGTGGCCAAATAAAAAAAAAGAAGAGAAAGCCAGACCTTGGTGAAAGGCAGTCTCCAATTTTTGTTGTTACGATCATTCATTATTATTATTCACCTCTTTATTCCCATTGACCAGGTTAGGGCGATATACATAGAATAGACACTCAATGAATGTTGGCTGGACAGCATCAGGTCCTCCATCTTGACCTTGAGGTCTCAGAAAAGCAACCATATCCAGAAGAATAAACTTGGCTTTTTTTTTTTTTTTAATTGATAAGAAGTCAGGCTAGAGTTGGGAGCAGGATGCTGAGGGTCGCTAGGAAGTGGGGGTGGGGTATAGATCAGGGGACCCAAGGGGTTGCTGGGTTCTGAACTCCCCCCGAGATTGGGGGCCCAGCTGTTAATGTTCTCCCTTCAGCAGAGAAATGACCTGGTCAGTAAAAATCCCTGCATAGGTGGTCACAGCTGCCGTGCTTTTGCTGTATATGTCCCTGGGGAGAAAGGACAGAAGGGCTGAGGAGGAGGGGCTGGGGGCTGGGACTCCTGGGTCTGAGGGAGGAGGGGCTGGGGCCCAGAGTCATGTGTCCTGTGGGAAAACGTGGCTAGAACCCAAACTCCTGGATCCCTATGTAGGACAGGGCTGGCATCTCAGAATCCCGGGTTCTACTGGGACTGGGGGCTGGGAGCTGAGATCCCTGGGCCTTGAGATACCAGGTCCAGGTTTGAACCTGGACTCCTGAGTCTGAGGGAGAAGGGGCTGGGGGCTGGGAGTCCCTGTTCCTGGGGTGGGGGTGGGAGGCGGGTGATACCTGATTTTCTCATCCATGGCGGGCAAGTATGTCTTCTTGTACAGCTTCTGGGCAGCTGCCTTGGCTAGATTCCAGTAACCTAAGAGTGATTCCTGCACCTTGGTGAGCACGGCAGGACTGGCAGTCTCTTCTTGCTGGGGCACAGGGTCGCCCTGGACCTCTGCAGGAGGAGAGTGAGTTAGGGGAGCTGAGGGGCCTGCAGCAGGGGGAGAATGAGGCGGGGAAGGAGAGGAATGGGCAGGGGCAGGGCCAGACAAGAATTGGGCTGGGAAGATGCTTGGGGCTCATCCCTCCCCTCATAGCCCCTCCTCTCCTACTGACCACACTCACCGAATCCCAACACCAGGAGGATGAGAAACAGAGCCAGGAAGTATCGGGTGCCCATGGTGTCAGGAGACCTGGAATGCTGAGGAGGGTGTGGGACAGGGCCACAGGAGGTATCTAATCCTAGGGTCCCCTGCGCTCAGGGATACCAGCCTGGGACCCCCTCTCCCCCTCCCCCCCACCTGAGTCAAACCCCTAATGGCTTGACTTGGTTGACTTGGGCCTCACTTCCTAACATTCTATGATGCTACTCCCGATGGCTGATTGTAACATCTTAATTTTTTTTTTTTTTTGGCAGCCCTGCGCTCTTGCAGGATCTTAGTTCCCCGACCAGGAATTGAAACCCGGCCGCAGAAGTGAAAGCACCGAGTCCTAACCACTGGACTGGCAGGGAATACTCTAAATTCCATGATTCTATCACTGGAATCTAATATCTTGACTCTTGCAGTTTCTGCCCTAACAATCTTGGCCACCTCCTGCAGTCCCCCACCCGCCATGTCCCTCTCTTACCGGACTCTGGCAGGCTGTCCTCACCAGCTCCAATCAGGCAGAGAAAGGCTTTATAGCGCTTGAGGTCCACCCCTTCACAGCCACCACCCCGACCTCAACGCCTAGGCCAAAGTCCTGGCCAACAGAACTGCTTGTGGGGGGTGGGGGGGAGGCTGCGGGCAGAGAGGGCAGTGACACCCCTGAGGTCAAGCCACAGGAAGCCTCCACGCTGAAGATTCACCGCTGAGAGAGACAGGCCGGGTGGGGAGTGTGGAGGTGATGGGGGCTCTGGGTGCCCGCCAGGCATGAGGCCTGGGGTCTCCAGCCCGTGGGAGGTGAACGCAGAGCGCTGAAGGAGGGGCCGCTGGGGGAGCTTGTTAACCCTGCCTGGTCTCCAGCCTTCACCCTCCACCCCAAACTGAGAAGCCTGAAGTCTTCCGCGCCGCCCACAAGCCTGCAGTGGTGGGTCTCAGCACTGGGGGAGCAGGGTCATGCCCTCCCCACCGGCCCCCACTCCTTCCCCCACCCCCGCTGTCGCTCCCCTGCCACGTGTGTCACTTCATGTTGTCACTTCCTCTACTCCTTAACCTCTGGGGGGCAGATGGGGTGGGATTATCTCTGGCAGCATCCGGGAGGGACTGGGACAGGGACACAGGAGAACTTCTTTACTGCAGAAGCTGTGAACGCTTTAATCCCAGTAGCTGTCCCCGCAGAGCAGCTGGGGACACAGGTTGTAGGCCTTGTTCAGGAGGCTGTCCTTGGAGCTTTGGAGCCAGGCCTGGGTGTGGGAACCCAGGTCACCCAGGTGGTCATCATAGTAGGTCTGCACAAAGCCCTGGAAGGCCCTGGGGCCCCTGTGAACATCACAGTGGAGAGCCCAGCTAGCCCCCGAGATTTCTGCCCCGTTGACCCCTTCCTCCCTCTGACCCAGGAGTCCCTGCTCTCACCTCTTACCCTCTACCCCTCTGGGACCCAGGGGTCACAGCCCTGCCCCCGCCCTGTCCTGCTCCCTGGGAACCCACGAGTTCCGGTCCTGCCCCTCCTCCCTCAGACTCAGGCCCCCAGCCCCGTTCTGTGCACACACACCAGAACCACTGCCAACTCTCTCTTGTCCTGGTCACCAGCGACTCCATCCACTCCTTCACCTTGCCCGGAACCAGGCTCCAGGAACTACTGGCCGGCTCTGGCGGGGGGCTCGAGGTTCCCCCAGGCCCTTCTTGCTGACATGCTAGATGGGATCAGAGGGCAACTTGGGACGGCTGGGACCCCAGAACCCTTCCATCTCCTTTTCCCTCCATGCTCACCGTCACCGTGGCTCCTGGTGGCCCCTTGCCGGTCCTCTCATCGCCTTCTATGTCCCTCTTGCCCCTCGCCCCCCTTCAGCCAGCGGTCATCTCCTTTCACCATCTGTGCCCGGGAGCCCCGTCACCCCTGCGTCTGCCTGGGGTTTCCTCCCTCAGTCTGTAACGCCACCTCTCTGCCCCCTGCCCCACTCCTGATGCCTCCCTCACTTCCTGATCTTGCCGCCCCCTCCGTTCTCCTGTTACTCCCACACGGTTTGAACAACCTCCGCAGGCAGTGAAGGATGCCCCCGGGGATGGAGGTTGGCAAGGCCATATGTCAGGCTGGTGGGCCAGGGGTTCTGCCAGGAATCACACACACCTGTCTGTCCAGCACCCATCCACCTGGGCAAAGCCTCACCTACAGAGACCAGCCATCACACGGGTACACGTGTACACATGTGTATAGAGGCACCCACGTGACCTGTGGTGTGCCCTTGGCCAATGACTTAACCTCTTCAAGACTCAGTTTCCTCTTCTGTAGAATGGGATAATGACAGGTCCTAGCTTATAGGGTTATTGTGAGAGTTAGGGGTTAACATGTAGAAGGTACTTGCACCGGTTTCCTGCACATCGGATGCACTGCATATATATATATATACACACAATTTAAATACATGTGCAGAACCCAGACATACTCACACACCAGTACACACGGACACCCTTCCACATGCCCAGACTGTCAAATCTTTTGCATAAATACCCCCTAAAGACACACATGTGCGCACAAGCATACAAATGCATGTTCACAGACTTAACATGTTTACCATGACTACATACTCGTCAGCTGACACACGCACAAATGCATATTCACGATCACTGTCATCTCTACCGACCCCGCGTACACTGTTCACTCATGGCCGCCTGTGACACACACTCCCAGACACACACGCACATCTGCATGCCTCACAGCAGGCCACACTCACACCCCATGCTGCATCGGGGTCCCCACACCCGCCCACCCACTCCTCCTCACCCACGACACAGGCCAGGACCAGAACGCAGAAGCAGAGGGAGGACAGGGCCCGGGACCTGCATCCAGGGAACAACATTTCTGGGGGCCTCTGTCCCTCTGTCCTTCTGTGCTCAGCTCTCTGAGCTGGGGGAGGGGGAGGCTGCGCTGAGCAGAGCCCTCCCCTGGCCGCCTCCCCACGCCCCTTGGCAGGGACTTCAGATAGAGAGGGGCCCAGGTGACAGTGATGATCCGAGGCCATGCCCGCCCCTGCTGGCCTTCTTCCTTTCTCCTTCCTATCCTCCCACCACCCTAAACTGACAGGGGAAGGTTAGCCTCCCGTGCTGAACTGGGTTCAAATTCTGGCTCCACCTGGTGTGACAGCCCCTCTTTTGGGCCTCAGTTCCCTCCTCCGTAAAATGGGCTCACAATCCATACTTTAGGACATTAATTAAATGACGTGATAACAAGGGAAATTCTTTTTTTTTTTTTTTTGGCTGCGTTGGGTCTTCGTTGCTGACGCAGACTTTCTCTAGTTGCGGCGAGCCGGGGCTACTCTTCGTTGTGGTTCGCGGGCTTCTCATTGCGGTCGCTTCTCTTGTTGCGGAGCACGGGCTCTAGGTGCGCAGGCTTCAGTAGTTGTAGCACGCGGGCTCAGTAGTTGTGGCACACGGGTTTAGTTGCTCCGCAGCATGTGGGATCTTCCCAGACCAGGGATCGAACCCGTGTCCCCTGCCTTGGCAGGCGGATTCTTAACCACTGCGCCACCAGGGAAGTCCTCAAGGGAAATTCTTAATGTGTAGTCTGGCAACACAAGTGCTCACAGATCAGACCTGTTTATTATTACTTATTTTGTCTCTGAGATCCATTGGCCACTGGACTACAGGGCCAGACACACCTTCACTGCGTGACCAGGGCAAATACATTCACTTCTCTGGGCTCAGTGTTTTCATCTGTAAAATGGGGATGGTAGTAAGTGCCTGCCTCCCAGAGTCCACATGAAGGCTGGGTGAGGCCCTGTGAGGGAGAGATTAGTGGGAGGTTGTCAACATCAGGCTTGGGCCAAACGCCAGCCAGAAAGAAAATGAGCCTTTTTCTCCCAGAGGACCCAGCCATGAGCCAGGGTGCACAGTTTAGCCAGGGAACCATGGGCTGGATTCCTTGCTCTAAGGTTGCCAGATAAAATACAGGACGCCCTGTGATATCTGAATGTCAGATAAATAATGAATCTTTTTTAATTAGTTGATTTATTTTTAAAAACTGGGGGGGGGCAGGCACAGCATGTGGCATCTTATTTCCCCAACCAGGGATTGAACCTGTGCCCCCTGCAGTGGAAGCACAGAGTCCTAACCATTGGACCACCAGGGAAGTCCCATGAATCTTTTTTTAGTGTAAGTATGTCCCATGCAATATTTGGGAATTATACTATTATTTATTTGTTGTGTATCTGAAATTCAAATCTAACTAGGCATTCTATATATTTTTTCAATATTTATTTTTGGCTGCCTTGGGTCTTAGTTGCGGCACGCGGGATCTTTCATGGCGGCGCGCGGGCTTAGTTGCCCTGCAGCACGTGGGATCTCAGTTCCCCGACCAGGGATCGAACTCTCATCCTCTGTATTAGAAGGCGGATTCTTAACCACTAGACTACCAGGGAAGTCCCACGTCCCGTATTTTTATATGGTGAATCTGACAACCCCACTTTGGCCACAACTTGGATGACTGTACAGGACAAATCCAGAGGCTCCCAGAAGAATGCTGTCCATTCCAATGGCCCCAGCGTGGGCTCTGGCACACAGTAGTTGCTCAACGAATGCTCCCTGGAGTTCCTCACTGACGCTAAACAGCCAAATAAAATCTCCTGGAGTTTCTGTTTGGGATGCTGAAAGCACTCTGGAAATGGACGGTGGTAATGGTTGCACACGACTGTGAATGTACTCAATGCCACTGAACCGTACACCTAAAAACGGTTAAAATGGTAAACTTGATGTTATGTATTTTATCATAATAACAAAAGAAAAAGGAAACACCCACTTTGCATGGTGTTAGGAGAAGCAGCATGGTGTTGGGTTCACAGTCCGGCTCCACCTCCTTCCTGCTGTGTGACCTGGTGTATGTTGCTTAATGTCTCTGGGCCTGTTTCTCCGTCCAGGAACCCAGAGTCACGGACTATGTTCCTACACAGGAGAGTAAAGCAGGTCGTTTACCTAAAGTGCCTCGAGCAACAAGAGACGTGCAGCAAAGCTGTGTTGTCAACGCCAGCTGCTACTTATTAAGCTTGTATTTCCCGAGCGCTCACTACGCGTCAGATGCCACCGCAAGGCTTCAGCGCATTAACTCACTGAATTAACGTCAGACCTTATGAAGTGGGCATCTTTTTCATTCCCATTTTACATATAAGGAAACTGAGGCTGTGGGGGTGGGGCTTCCCAGCCACCAAGTGGTGAATCTGAACCCAGCCCTTTCATACTTAGCTAGCCGTTTCTGGCTAGCTTAAGCCAGAAACGACCTCTGCCCTCACCTCCCCACCCCAATTCTAGAGGGCAAGAAAGAGGTTGAAGCAGGGCCAGGGTTGGGTGGGCCCGGGGGAGGGGGGAAAAGGTCTCTGACCCTGCCCTGGCTCCAAGGTCAGCATGAGCTGTTTGCTGCTTGCAGTGTTTGCCCATCTGTTATCCAGGGCAGGAATGGGCTGAAGGTCGTTCAGGGTGGACCTCAGAGGCAGCTCAAAAACAACAGCAGTTGGGAGGTGGGGGCAAAGAGGTCACAAGGAGGGACTGGGGGTTGGGAGCGGTGGGCCTTGAGACCCCAGCATGTGTGCCTGGGGACAGGTAGCATCTCTGAGCCTGCACCTCTGTGTCCACAAGGTCATCAGTCCCACGACCAGACTCCCAAATCACTCTCTCCACGCCAGGGTCCCTGCTTCATTCTGGACCCCATCCCCTCTCCCCTGAATCCCTGCAGCCACCTCCCTTCCAGCATCCCTCACCACTCACCTCCCTGGCTGCTCTAGGTTGTGGCAGGGAAGTCGGGGGTGTGGAAGAGAGGTTGCTATGTCCCCTCATTTATCTCTTCTTTCTGCCTTTGTCTGGAAGATCTCCATTCATTTTTTAAAAATTGAGATACTCAAAAAAACCCAAAAAACAACAACAAAAAATTGAGATGTTCACATACCATAATTGTCACCCTTTGAAGGTGTACAATTCAATGATTGTTGGTATATTTGCAAAGTTTGCAACCATCACCACTATCTAATTCCAGAACATTTCATCACCCCGAGAGGGAACCCTACACCCTTTAACCCTCACTCCCACCCGCTTCTCCCCAAGGCAGGGCAACCACTAATCAGCTTTCTGTCTCTATAGATTTCCCAATTCTGGACATTACATATGAATAGAGTCATATAACATGTGGTCTTGGGGATTCCCTGGTGGTGCAGTGGTTAAGAATCCGCCTGCCAATGCAGGGGACACGGGTTCGAGCCCGGGCCCGGGAAGATCCCACATGCCGCGGAGCAACTAAGCCCGTGTGCCACAACTACTGAGCCCGCGTGCTACAACTACTGAAGCTCGCGCTCTTAGAGCCCGTGCTCCACAACAAGAGAAGCCACTGCAATGAGAAGCCCGTCCACCACAATGAAGAGTAGCCCCTGCTCGACACAACCAGAGAAAGCCAGTACACAGCAACGAAGACCCAATGCAGCCAAAAATAAAAATTAAAAGTAAATAAAAAATTGTTTTAAAAAGTGGTCTTTTGTGACTGGCTTCTTTCACTTAGCATGAAGTTTTCGTGGTTCATCCGTGTTGTAGCATGTGTCAGTGCTCTGATCCCCCTTTCTTTTTTCTCTCTCTCTCTTTTTTTTTTTGGCCTCGCAGCAAGGCTTATGGGATTTTAGTTCCCAGACCAGGGATCAAACCTGGGCCCTCGGCTGTGAGAGCTCGAAGTCCTAACCACTGGACCACCAGGGAATTCCCAGTGCTTTGTTCCTTTTTATGGCTGAATAATATTCCACTGTATACACTGTATCTGTACCTATACAGATATACAGTGGATATACAAACACTGTATAGATTTATTTATTCATTCATCAGTTGATGGGTATTTTTTGGCTATTTTCCACTTTTTGGCTATTATGAATAATAGTGCTATGAAGAGTTGTGTACAAGTTTTTGCTGTGAACCTGTTTGCAGTTCTTTTGGATAGAGACCTAGGAATGCAATTGCTGGGTCTTGCGGTAACTCTGTTTAACTTTTTTTCTCTTCCAATTTTATTGAGTTAAAATTGACATACAGCACTGTATAAGTTTTATGTGTACAGCATAAGGATTTGACTTACATACGTCATGAAATGATTATCACAGGTTTATTAAACATCCATCATTTCATATAGATACAAAATTAAAGAAATACAAAAAAATTTTTGTGATGAGAACTCTTAGGATTTACTCTCATAATAACTTTCATATAACACACAGCAGTTTTTTTTAATTTTAAAAACTCCCAAGGTGATTCTTTTTTTTAATATTAATTAATTAATTTATTTATTTATGGCTGTGTTGGGTCTCAGTTGCTGCGCGCAGGCTTTCTCTAGTTGCAGCGATGGGGGGCTACTCTTCATTGTGGTGTGTGGGCTTCTCACTGCAGTGGTTTCTCTTGTTGCAGAGCACGGGCTCTAGAGCGCAGGCTCGGTAGTTGTGGCACATGGGCTTAGTTGCTCCGTGGCATGTGGGATCTTCCCGGACCAGGGATCGAACCCATGTCCCCTGCATTGGCAGGCAGATTCTTAACCACCGTGCCACCAGGGAAGTCCCTCTTTCTTTTTTTTTTTTTTTTGCGGTACACGGGCCTCTCACTGTTGTAGCGTCTCCCGTTGCGGAGCACAGGCTCCGGACGCGCAGGCTCAACGGCCATGGCTCACGGGCCCAGCCGCTCCGCGGCATGTGGGATCTTCCCGGACCGGGGCACAAACCCGTGTTCCCTGCATCGGCAGGCGGACTCTCAACCACTGCGCCACCAGGGAAGCCCCCCTGTATGTCTTTTGAGTCTTTAACCTGAGCGATTTTTTGGGATTTAGGAAAATGCTTGGGAAATCATTTGATTGGTTCCAAAGTGGGAAAAAAAAAATTGACCAAGT